GAGACCTGAAACCATAAAAACCCTAGAAGAGAACACAGGCAGTATCGGTCATACCAACATTTTTCTAGATATGTCTCCTAAGGCAAGGGAAACAAAAGCAAAAGTAAACTATTGGGACTACATTAAAATAAAAAGCTTCTGCATAGCAAAGGAAACAACCAACAAAACTAAAAGAAAACCTATTGAATAGGAGAAGAGATTTGCAAATGATATACCTAGTAAAGGGTTAGTATCAAAAGTATATTAAGAATTTATACAACTCAACACCAAAAAAAAAATCCAATTAAAAAAATGGGCAGTGGACATGAACAGACATTTCTCCAAAGAAAATATACAGATGACCAACAGACACAGGAAAAAGATGAAGACATCATCAAGGAAATGCGAATCAAAACCACAATGAGGTATCATCTCACACCTGTCAGAATGACTAAAATCAAAAACATAAGAAACAACAAGTATTGGTGAGGATGTGGAGAAAATGGAACCCTCGTGCACTGTTGGTAGGAATACAAATGGGTACAGCTGCTGTGGAAAACAGTGTCCATTCATAGATGAATGAATAAATAAGATGTGGAAAATATGTACAATGGAATGTCATTCAGTCATAAAAAAGAATGAAATTTTGCCATTCGTAACAACCTGGGTGGATTTAGAGGGTATAATGCTAAGTGAAATAAATCAAAGAAAAATACCTTATGATTTTACTCATGTATAATTTAAGAAACAAAACAAAGGAAAAAATGAGACAAACTAAAAAAGACTCTTAAATATAGAAAACAAACTAGTGCCTGCCAGAGGGAGGTGAGTGAAGGTTGGGTGAAATAGGTGAAGGGGATTAAGAGGACATTTATCATGATGAGCAATGACCAACGTAGAGTTGTTCGATCACTATACTGTACACTTGCAATGAATATAATACTTTATATTGATTATACTGGAATTTTAAAAAATGGAACAAAGACCTAAATGTACAAGCTAAAACTATAAAGCTCTTAGAAGACGACACAGGTATAAATCTTCACGGTCTTGGATTAAGCAATGAATTTTTAGATATGGTATCAAAAGCACAAGCAACCTAAGAAAAAAATCAAAAACTTTTTGCTCCAAAGGATACTATTAAGAAAATGAAAAAACAACCCACAGAATGAAAGAAAATATTTGCAAACCATGTATTCAATAAAGGTCTAAAACCCAAAATATATACTCTTACAACTCAATGATAAAAAGGCGAATAACACAATGTAAAAACGGGTGAAGGATCTGAATAGGCATTTCTCCTGTGAAGATATACAAATGAGTAATAAGCACATGAAAAAATGCTCAATATCACTGGTCATTAGGAAAATGTAAATCAAAACCACAAAGAGATATCATTTCATAACCAGCAGGGTGGTTATAATCAAAAGGAAGGACAATCACCATTACTGGCAAGAATATGGAGAAATTGCTGGTGGGAATGTAAAATGGCTCAGCCACTTTGAAAAACAATCTAATAGCTCTTCAAAAGGTTAAAAACAGAGTTACCATGTGACCAAGAAATTCCACTTCTAATAAATATCTAAGAGAACTGAAAACATATGTCCACACAAAAACGTGCACACAAATGTTCATAGCAGCATTATGTATAAAAACCAAAATGTGGAAACAACCCAAAGTCCATTAATTGATAAATGAGAAGTAAAATGTAGTATATCCATATAATGTATTCAGCCTAAGTCAAAGAAGCCAGACATGAAAGGTCACACACTAAATGATCCATTGCAGTCACATTTCCAGAATAGGCCAATCTACAGAGACAGAGAGTAATGAGGAGAAACAGCTAATGGCCATGGAGTTCTCTCTGGGATGATGCAAGTGTTCTGGAATTAGTGGTGATGATGTCAGAATTTTGTGAATATACTTAAAACAATTAACTTATATACTTTAAAATGGTGAATTTTATGGCATGTGCATTAAATCTTTTCATAAAAGATATTCATCTACATATCCACAAGACTATCAACAAAATCAGGAAATTAACATTAGTGTATTACTACCATGTAATTCTCAGGCTTCATTCAAGTTTTTCTAAGTGCCCCAATATCATAAATGTAAGCATACACACACACACACACACACACACACCATCCAGTTCAGAAACATACACGGTATTTAGTTGTCATGTCTTATTGGTGTCCTTCAATTTTAAACAGTTCTTTAGTCTTAATTTTATAATCATGGATGCTTTTGAAGATTAAATGTCAGTTATTTTATAAAATATCACTCCATTTGACTTTGTCTGATGTTTCCATATGACTGGATTCAGATCATGCATCTTTGGCAAGAATATCAGAGTAGTGATGCTATGTTCTTGCCACTGTATTTTGTCAGGTGGCACGCAATTTTGATTTGTCCCATTACTGAAGATATTCACTCTGCTTGATTAAAGTGTTCTTCACTAGGCTCTTTCACTATAATGTTACTGAAATTTTCCCTTTATAATTACTTTATGGTAAAGTACTTAAAAACTATGTAAATTCAGCATTAAACTTTTAACATTCATTTATGATCACTTGTTTCATTTATATACAGCTTATTATTTTAGTATGAATTCATGACTTCCCATTTTGTTCAGTGGGTTATATATTCAATGAGTTTGGTAACTATTACAAACTGTTACTATCATTATTTATTTTGATGCTCAAACTGTCCCAAATTTGGCCTATGGGAACCCGTTTAAGTTGGCTTCAGGGTTCTTCTGACATATGCCCATTCTTTTAGCTTTTCCACTCTTTCTAGCATACAAAGATGTTCTAGGTTCATAAAGTCCTTTTTTTTCTGCCTCAGTCCTCTGAACAGCCCCGGTTCCTTTTATTATTTTTTTCAAAGATTTTATTTATTATTATTATTTTTTAAAAGTGAACCCTATGCCCAACATGGGGCTTGAATCCATGACCCTGACATCAAGAATCACCTGCTCCACCAACTAAGCCAGCCAGGCGCCCCTGCCCTGGTTCCTTTTATATGGAGAATAGTTTTTACAACCTAGATCTGAATGTTAGGTGTGCTCTTCAGTATTCGGGTTTCTTGCTCCCAGGCTAGCAGGCCTAGAGAATGGATGTTTATATGTGTATATAGAAATATAAGTGTATGTATATATAAATATATAGGAGATACATCATTTATAAACTGTGGGTGATTTTGGTCAAGTCAATTAGCCTCTTTCAGTTCTAGTACTGGAATTTCTAAGACATGAGTAATAACTATTTAAGATACTATACACCAAAGCACTTCATGATAGCTAGAGCTGGACAAATTCCAATTATTTTTTCATATGGTCAAACCCGAAGCCTTATTTTCAGGGTCCGTTATTCAGCTGTTACTCACTGGTATCAGTGAATGAGGATTTGTGTGCAAATTCTTATTGTTGGAACTCTTACCATATAGTTGTAAAATATTTTGAACAGCATTCCTACCATTTCTCACCATTCTCGAAATACATTTTCAGGTCTTGCTTCATCACTGTTGTCACATATACCAAACAATGAAATGACTCCCTGCCTCTCCATGGCACAAGGCAAGTCTGCTGTGGCATTTTATCCTTTCACTACCTAAAGAGTCTTAACTAAATCTTTCAAATTTTGTTTAAACGACTTTGACTTTTATACATTCTTCCAAACTCCACTGTGATGCCACAGATCATTTGTACTTCTTTAAAAAGAATTTTCATATTATGTCATTGTTTGTAAGTCTGTCTCTCCAGCTAGAAAGTGTGAGAAGTATGTTCTGTGTTCAATTAAGTCAGATCAGTGTCTTATTCAATTGTGTACTCTCCAGAGCAAGCACAACCTGCAAACATGACACCTTACTCTAAATGTGTTGAATATCAGAATCAATCCTAAATTAATATTTATGCATTTAATATAGCTGTAACTAATAATTCACAGACTGTTATATTCACAAATCCTTCTGGAATAGTCCTGTCCAATCCAGCAGCCACCAGCCTTATCTGGCTACTGAGCACTTGAAATAAACCTAATCTGAATTGAGATAGACACCTTATTTCAAGATAGGAAATATTTCATTAATAAATTTTTATACTGATTACATGTTGAAATAATATTTGAATATATTGGGTTAAATAAATGTATTATTAAAATTAATTTCAACTATTTTTTAACATGGCTTTTCTTGATGTGGGTCCCAGAAAATTTTAAACTACGTTTATCCTCACATTATATTTCTACTGGACAGTGAAGTTCTAGAAGTTTCTGGGTTATTAATGGGGAATAAAGAGCTCAAAAGATTGGGGTGCCGGGGTGGCTCAGTCAGTTAAGCGTCTGACTTCAGCTCAGGACATGATCTTGCGGTTCAGGAGTTTGAGCCCCGCATCAGGCTCTGCACTGACAACTGGGAGCCTGGAGCCTACTTCGGATTCTGTGTCTCCGTCTCTCTCTCTCTCTCTGCCCCTCCCCCAATTGAGCTGTGTCTCTCTCTCTCTCAAAAATAAATAAGCATTAAAAAAATTTTTTAAAAAAAGGTCAAAAGATTGACCACTAGATATATGGCTTCCTTAGAGCAAGGGCAGTAAAATCCCTGCATAGCCCTAATTCTTTGCTAGCTAGAGGAACCATCCATTCAAATGGATGCTATAAGACAGACATGAGGAAATGCAGGCATCTAAGAATATACTTCCATGGTGAACTGACTATGTCTTTTTAAAACATCTCCAGGGGTCTGCACTCTGTAATCCTGCTCCAACACTTCATGCCTGCACAGAGGTAGTCAACGCTATACTGCTCTCACTTGTTTTCTCTATGAACAATTACTTGCTCGCTTCTTTATTCCACTTAGTCAATTTGGATCCTCTGGCCTGAAGTAAAAAGAGATATGTAATCTCCTTTTTTCCCCCTCAGTCTCTTGTCTCAACACCATCCTCTAGTAATGTACTCTTTCCTCAAATTTGAAGTGTCTGGGTGAAGAGAAATAAGCATTTAGTTAATTTTGTCATTACTGACCTGCATTTCATATTTCAGAGTCATGTGGAAGCACCAGGATCCCATTCCTACCACTGAAATTAAAACAAACAAATAAAAAAAAAAGATTAGCATGAAATTCTTTGGGGGTGGCCAGATTGACTTGAGAAGATAATATGACACTGCAAAGCACTGAGTTTTAAGAACAAAGTTCATGAAATCTTATGGCAGGATATAGTAGACTCTGCATAAGTTCTATAATTGATGAAATTTGGTATAGAAAAAAAAACCCCAAGTACAGTATAAGTTCTCATAAATTCCCTCGACTAAGTGGACTTACTGGATTAATCAATATTCTCCATTCTTTCTAAAAAACATACTACCCGATACGCAGGATAAGCTTTCTTTTTTTCTTTTTTCTTTCTTTCTTTCTTTTTTTTTTTTTTTCAAAGGATACAGAAGTTTACTGAATACACCATAAGGGAGTGGCAGGCAGGACAGCAAAGGAGACTGGCTGCCTCTTAGGCCTTAGCGTTTACAGCAAGGTAGCTACTCTTTAGTACTTCCTAGCACTTGGAGCCAAAGAGCTGAAATGTATACTCACTAAGAGCCAGACAGTTACCTTTGTTACCAAACCTATTAACGCCACACTGTATTTATTGATCCTAAATACGATTGCAAAGAAAGCTGTTGTTTCTACAGAAACTATTTAAAATGCTTAAAATGGACTCCATGAAAGAGAGTTGCTAATAACAACTGCTGTTGAATTATGTGTGGGTAAGATATCTGCTAGACTGAGAAAAACAGTAAAAATTTAAAGATTGTATTTAGGTCTCAAAATTCTTTTCAAGTGCCTCTTTTTTAAACAAACTTTTAATTTTAGGGTTTTTAAAACTTGTTTAATTCAAGAAAAACTAAGGAGAATTTAAAGGCCACACTGTATATCAAATAACTGTCAAAGATTATACAACTATATGTCTGAATTAAAATAAAATTTTAAGGTAGGTGTTTATGTATCTTTTCAATAATTCTATGCTTTGAAGTTTTAAAAATTGGCTGACCAAATATAAGCCCCTATCAAATCTGATTAAAAGGTTTCTACTGTGATATACTAAATTCAATTCAACAGGCATTTACTGAGCACCTCCTATTTGCCAAATTCAGTTACAAAGATAAGATGCAGTCATTGACCTTAATGAAGTATATAGTCTAATGGAAGAGACAGGCAGCTAAGATGCCAGTAGATGGAGATACAATAAAGAGATATGCCGAGTACCACAGGAGCACAGAAGAAGGGCACTTATGAAGGAAGACAGAGAAAAAAACCAGGGAAGTTAGCCTTAAGGATGTGTAAGAGTTGGCCCAGCAAACATGGTAAATGGGGGTGTCACCAAATAATTTGTACAAAGCCACTTGAGAAAAATTTCAAACTCTGTTACTATTGTTTTTTTTAAAAATCACTAAATATATATCAAATTATAATTTTTAATGTGCAAAATGAGATGACAGAAGTAAACAGTTACTGCACTCATTCTAAAGAAATGAGGAAGTAGAATAGTTGAGGTCTTTTTACCAAAGGAGAAATTAGAAGGGAGGAAGGTAGATAAATTAATAGAAGGGGGACAGGTAACCCACAAACTGTGAATTAAAGGGATACAATACACTAGAAAATAAAAAAATTAAAACGAAGACAGATGGGGCACCTAGGTGGCTCAGCTGGTTAAGTGTCTTAACCTCCACTGAGGTCATGACTTTGCAGTTCGTGAGTTCGAGCCCCGCACCAGGCTCTGTGTGAACAGCTCAGAGCCTGGAACCTGGTTCAGATTCTGTGTCCCCCTTCCTCTTCCTCTCCCCCTCCCCAACTTTAAGATTTATTTATTTTTGAGTCAGAGAGAGGCAGTGTGCGAGCAGGGGAGGGGCAGCGAGACAAGAGCCATAGAATCTGAAGCAGGCCCCAGGCTCCAAGCTGTCAGCACAGAGCCTGATGCGGGGCTTGAACTCACAGACCATGAGATCATGACCTAAGCCAAAATCAGATGCTTAACTGACCGAGCCACCCAGGCGCCTCTAAAAAAAATGTTTTTAATGCAGAGGGATGACTATTCATTTTGACAGGTAGACTGGCCACTTAATCATGCTTTACTCAACTTTTTTGTTCAAATGTTTTCGAATGTTCTCTTGAACTGTTTATTATATAGCATTAAAAGTCTGATTTTCAGAGATTTCTACGATTTACTTTCTTTCAACAACCTACTAAGAATGCAAAGAAATGTAATAGAACAGCATCACCTTTCTCTACACAATATTTTCTACTTTGCCAGTTTAAAGCAACCCAGTTTTTGCTAAAGTTTATCAGTTTTATTGAGATATAATTCACATACTATAAAATTAATTTAAAATGTACAATTCAATTGTTTTTTAAATGTTCAGACAGTGCAACCTTCATCATTATCTAATTTTAGAGCAGCTTTATCATCCCAAAGAGAAATCTCCTATCTATCAGTAGTTACTCCCTATTTCTCATACCTCTCCACTCCTCAGCCCTTTAACCACTAATGTATCTTCTGTCTCTATAAATTTGTTTGTTCTGGACTCTTCATATAAATAAAATCATACATTATGTATTCTTTTCCATCTGGTTTCCTTCACTCAGCATATTTTCAAGGTTCATTCATGTTGTAACATACATCAATAATTTATTTCCTTCATGGATGAATAATATTCCGTTCTGTGAAAATACTACATTTTATTTATCCATTTATTTATCCATTCACAAGTTGGAACTTGTTACAAATTGTATGTCTGTAGCCCCACCTCCCAAATTCATGTATTGAAGCTTTAACTCCAAATGTGGAGCCTTCAGAAGGTAATTAAGTTTAGAAGAGGTCATGAAGGTAAGGTCCCCTTGATGGGATTAGTGTCTTCATGAGAAGAGGAAAAGCCTCACTCTCTTACCTGCCTGGATGACAACAGGGGAGGCCATGTGAGATCATGGAGAAGGCAGCCATCTATACAAGCCAAGAAGATCTCACCAGGAGCCAACACTTAATCCAGAACGGTGAGAAAGGAATGTGTACTGTTCAAGCCACGAGTCTATGATATTTTGTTATGGCAGCCTGAGCTAAGACAGACATTTAGGTATTTTCCACATTCTGGCTATTTTGAGTAACACTGCTGTGAACAATCATGTACAAGTTTTTGTTAATATGTAGGTTTTCATTTCTCTTGGGTTTATGTATCTCGGAGTGGAATTTGTGGGTCATATGGTAACTCTATGTTTAGCATTTTGAAGAACTACCAAAGTGTTTTGCAAACCAGGGGCATCACTTTACATTCCCATGAGCAATATATGAATTTCTCCACATTCTCCCAATACTTGCTATTGGTTGTCTTTCTGATTATAGCCATGCTAATACAATGAAGTGGTATGCACTATGGTGCTGATTGGCATTTCCCTAATGACTACCTCATGCCCCTCCCTTTTTCTTGTAGAATGTTCTGTATTATAGATGTCTGATTTATTTTTTAATTTTTTAAAATGTTTTATTTATTTCCGAGAGAGAGAGAGAGAGAGACAGAATGAGCAAGGGAGGGTCAGAGAGAGAGGGAGATATAGAATCTGAAACAGGCTTCAGGCTTTGAGCTAGCTGTCAGCACAGAGCCTGACACAGGGCTCAAACCCACGAACCGTGAGATCATGACCTGAGCCGAAGTCAGACGCTTAACTGACCCAGGCGCCACTGATTTATTTTTTTAATAGACTTTCTTTTTTAGAGCAGTTTTAGGTTCACAGTAAAACTGAGCAGAAGATAGAAGCATTTTCCATACAGCCTTTCTCCCTCACATGCATAGCCTCCTTCCCCTACCACAGGTGCACATTTGTTATAACTGATGCACCTACACTGATATGTCATTATCATCCAAAGTCCATACTTTACATTTTATGGTTCACTCTTGGGTATGGATAAATTTAGAATAACTTGTATCAACTATTATAATCTACAGAATAGTTTCATTACCTTGAATTCTCGATGGTTTTGCCATTTCATCTCTCCCTCTCTCTTAACTCCTGGCAACCACTGATCTCTTTACTATCTCCGTAGTTTTGCCTCTTCCAGAATATCAAGATAGTTGGAATCATACAGTATGTAGCTTTTTTCAATTAGTAACAGGTCTTCTTCCACTTAGTAATAGGCATTTAAGGTTCCCTCTTGTCTTTCAATGTTTGTTTGATACCTCACTTCTCTTTAACACTGATAATGTTTTATTACCTAAAGTTTACCTATCCATTCTCTTACTAAAGCACATCAAGGTTGCTTCCAAGGATGGCTTGTAGATAAAGCTGCTATGAACACCTGTGTGCAAGTTTTTGTGTAAACGTAAGTTTTCAATTCTTTTGGATGAATACCAAGAAGTGTGACTGCTGAATCGTATGGTGACAGAATAGTTTTGTTACAAACTGCCAAACTGCCTTCCAAAGTGGCTGTAACATTTTGCATTCCCATCACTAATGGATGAGAGCTCCTTCTGCTGCATTAATAACATTTCCTTTTCAACAAGTATTTAGTGGGCCCTCAACAACATTCCAAGCTTTTCCACTGGGATAAATGAGTAAATAAGAGAGATAAGTTTCCTGTCCTCAAAACTTTAAGCCATTAAAAATATGAAAGGGGGCCATAGGAGCTATGGGAGTCTATGCTGAGGGCTTATAACCTTGTCTAGGGGGTTAGAAGAGGACTACTGGGGGAAGTAACATATAAGCTAAGACTAGAAGAATTAATTGAAGTTAAGCAGGTAAAGGATTTTTTAACAAATGAGATCATTCTACGTAGAAGGATCATGCAGATATAAAGGCAGAGTAGGGTGCCTAGGTGGCTCAGTCAGTTAAAGCATCTTGACTCTTGATTTCAGCTCAGGTCATGATCCCACAGTTCATGGGGTCAAGCCCTGTGTCAGGCTCTGTGCTCACAACGCAGAGCTGCTTGGGATTCTCTCTTCCTCTCTCTCTGCCCCTCTCCCAACTCTCTCTCAAAAAATAAACATTATTTAGACTTTATACTAAAGACAAAGTAAGCTGTTGAAAAACTACATACAT